CTGCCAAGAGCAGCCAAGGCCCTTCCCCATCAGCCAGTCTCTGCCTCTGCCCTTCCCCTGCCAAGAGCAGCCAAGGCCCTTCCCCATCAGCCAGTGTGAGAGTCCCACCCTGGGTGGTGGGCATCCCACCCCCACTGCTCCCCCTGTGAAGTCAGGACTGGGCTTGCAGACCACAGGCCTGACTCTCCATTGGCCTGGAGGCAGACGCCGAAGCAGCCCTCCATGATGGGCTCCGCCTCACCCCAGACCACCCGCCTGGGAGCTCCTGACGACCAGCAAAAGGGCCCTCAAGACAGCTTCCCCAGGCCTCACAGCATGGGAAGCTATCAGGAAAGCCCCAGGGGAGGACCTCAGCCTCTCCAATGTGAGAGAAGTCCATCCTGAGAGGTACCCTCAGTTCCACCTGCTGCCTCAGCTTTAGCAGAGAGACTGAAAGGATCTAGAGACCTTTTGAAAGCCCCCTCCCCAGATCACCACTCTTTCTCACAGGCTGACCCCTTCCCATCTAGGGCTGACACAGATCTGGCTGTCTACTCTGCTGGTTGCAGCCCCTCCCCATTCCTCCTCCCCACACAATGGCCCTTTCATGGCCTCAGGCCAGACCCCCAGTGGGCAACATCCCCAGGAGATGGGATCCTAATGACAGCCGTTGAGGCCCCCTGTCCACCACACCAGACTTCTCAGAGTGCAGGAGGGAGGTCCTGCCAACTCCCTACCTCACTGAGCCCTTCTAAATGACTCCCTCCTGTCCAGAAGCCACTTGGTCAGGAATGCCAGATTTCCACCCACCCTTGCCAACCTGTTGGCTCCCCACCCCTCACAAAACCCAGATTCTTAGATGTCCAGCCCCCAGCGGGGATCCTCACTTCCCAAGACAATGCCCCACACCCCTCTGGGAAGACAGGGAAGACCGATCCCCACCTGTCCCCCAGCCTAGGGTGGAGCCTCAGGCCTGTTCACACCTGGCCGCAGCACCCACCCCCCTTCACCCACCTGACAGACAGTGTGAAGCCCCCTGGGCAGCTCTTGCTGGGTCTTGCCAGGAAGCTCCCATGCTGGCCCCTGGACAGGAGAAGCTTCTCGGCCTCAGCTCCGCTCATGTTGGGGTGAAACCACCTGGAATGAGGACCACAAGCTGGCAATCCCAGAGAGCTGGGGTGACACTGAGCTCCCCCACCCAAAGTCCTGGCCCACACCCAACCTCCACCCATGGTGCCTGTTGTAGGCCCCATGCTTACAACCTGCCATGGGCAGTGACCACTGGGTCTGAGGTCTGTGGGGAAGGAGGTGGGGACACAGATGAGCAGAAACTTTCCTGCCACTGGGGGGGTGGGTGGGGGTGAGTGGGACAGACACCCTCCAGCACCCCCGCACAGCCACCATCAGGAACCTCACCTCACACTCTGTGCCTGGTCCCTCTGGCCCTGCCAGGGCATCGCAGCTTGGCCAAAAGTACTCGGGGTGCCCCAGGGTCACCCAGGGCCTCCTGCCTGCCCTCAGAGCCCCGTCAGCAGACCCCGTTCTACCCCTCCTGGTGTGGTGTCGGCCACCACCTTCTCTCATGGGGCATGTGCTGCAAGCCCAGGGACCGCCCCGCCCCCCATAATGTGTTAGTCACTTCGCCCTCCCAGAACAAGAGCACATCTACGGGTTCAGCTCTACGTCCCACCCGGACCACTGTCCCCAGCCCTGCTCCACACCCACAGGAGCTCATTCACCACAGACCCATTGTACTAGCTATTCTCTGCTCCCCTGGCCCACTTCGTATGGCTGGGACACCCCTCTCACTTCTCATTCTTTTATCCCTTACTCGGCTTTACTTCTCTTCATAGTATTTGCCTCCTTGACCTATATGATATACTGTAGGCTTACTGTCTATCTCCCACTCAAGGATCTGAGCTCCCAAGGGCAGACCCTGTTCTGTGTTATGCAGTATCCCACGGACGAAAACAGCGCCTGGGTATTAATTAAGAAGTGGATGAATAAGGGGGCACCTGGGTGGCTCAGTTTGTTAAGCTTCTGACTCTTGATTTCGGCTCAGGTCATGATCTCAGGGTGGTGAGACTGAGCCCAGCGCTGGGCTCTGTGCTCAGTGGGGAGTCCGCTTGAGATTTTCTCTCTCCCTCTGCCCCTCCCCCCACTTTCGCTCACGCTCTCTAAAATAAACACAAAAAATCTTAAAAAAAAAAAAAGCGAATGAATAAGTGAATGGATGGTGGGGGTACAGGTACCAGGGTGGCTGGCAGGTTCTGCCAACTGTGGGGCTCGACACAGGCTGAATCCTGTTGCTGAAGGACTAGAGGGGGGGCTGCAAGCTAAGAGGGACTGCAACCCTGCCTCTGTCCCCAGCCCTGCCTCCCTGGGACTGTCCTTCTTCACAGCCTCCCCCATGAGGTGGGGGACAGCCCCAGGTTCCTGGAGGGACTGGCCAGGAGGGCCCTCACTCAGGGTTGTGCATGAGCCCATGTCCAAGATCATAACTGCTGGGTTCTTTCCCCTCGTAGCTTTTGCTTCCTCTATTAGGGCAGGAATTTCTGGCCCAGGTTTAAATCTGACCCAAGAGATAGGAGGAAGGATGATCCCGCCCTGTAGAGCTCTTTCTAGAATGGAACTCAGATCACGTGTCTAACGCCAGCCTGGATGCTTCTCCCTCCAGGTCCTTCTCTTCTTTCAGGCCTCCTTCTGCCCCAGGCCTTCAGCCTGTCCTTTCTCCTCCAAGGACCATCTGTGCTCGTAGTCTATCCCTGCGTGTCCAACACAGCAGTCTATAGCATGTGTGAAATGTGAATGTAAATGAATTAATATTCAACAGAATCAAAACCCAATTCCTTGGCCACACTGCCACGTTTTACTGCTGAGAGCCACGTGAGGCTAGCAGACTGTTGACAGTGCAGGTAGGAAACATTTCCATCACCACGGAAAGTTCTGGTCTGCGCTGGCCTACACTGCCCGTCCTTGCCTGAGTCCTCACAGATCTGTTTCCCTCTGCCCTCCAGCCCCATAGAGACCTCTGCTCTCAGGGTGCTCATCCGTCTCCGGGGCCTGTGGCCAGGCCTCAGTCCTCAGCAGCATCTGACTGACCCATGCCTCCACTCGGCCCTTCTCCAGAATTCCACACTCCCCTGGTTTTCTGCCTCACCTGGTCAGGATCCTTTGCTGGGCCCTCCTCTTTCTGACCTCTCAATGTCAGAGCTCCTCACCCGTGCTGGCCGTGTGTCTACACGGCCATGTGCCTTCTACACCTCTAGCCTCACCTGGGATCTGAGCTTCAAACTCGCAGATGCTTCTCTTCTTGGCACCTCTATTTGGAAAGGTAACAACATTTCTATCTTAACATTTGCAAAATTTAGAACTCCTGGACACACTCAGAAAGCCCTGCTCTTTTACCCGGTCCCCACTCCATGAAGGGGGCCACTGCTCAGGCGTAGCTCAGGTCACCAGCCTGCAGGCCCTCGGCGCTCTCTTTTCCAGCAACCTTGTGTCCTACCTTCCAAATGCACCCAGAACCAACCCCTTTTGCTGGGCATGGCTCACATTCCCTGCATTTCCCAGCAACCCCACTGCTGCCCCTACTGTGTTAACAGCCCATAGACACACACATACTTTTGTGTTTGTCACCCTGTGTTTTCACTGAGGGCAGGCTCAGATCTGATGCTGATGGCTCCCCAGGGTCCATGTGTTGGTCCAGAGAGGCCTGGAACCTCAGACGACCTCCCCGGGGCCACCCAGCCTGCTCACACTTTCCCTGGGGGAATCGGGGTTACCGTCATCCAGGCCCTTCCTGGGCATGTTCTGAGCCTAGTGTCTTGAGCCCTCTCCCATGCTGGCTTGTAGCGGAGCCAGACCTGGGGGCAATTTTTGGTCAAGTGGTCCAGCAAGTAAGGCTGCCAGGGAAGGTTTCCTAGAGGAGGAGAGGCCGCATGGTGACCTCCAGAGCCAGTCACAGGAGAGTAGGCGAGGCCTCCAGGAAAAGGGCAAGGGCTTCATGCTGTCCCTGGACCCATGATGAGACAGTGTGGGACAGGAGCGGGGGGTGGGTGGGTGGCGGGGAGTGGAACCCAGAAGAAAGCTTCCAACTCCCCCTCCACCATGGGCCACCTACTCTGCTGAACCACATCCTGTGCCCAGATGCCCCTGCCTCCCCAGCCCCAGTAGCCTCAGATTCCAGTTCAAGATGGGCAATGCCCAGAGTGTGGGGGCAGGGGTAGAGGGTGGAGGCCCATAATCAAAGCCACAGAGAGGGGTGAAGGGCACCTTGTTGTCCTTTCAGGGACTCTCAATCATACTTTCCATCCCCCTCTCCTCCCCACAAACTGCCACTGGGTCTATCAGGTGGAAATCTCCAGGGTGGGGCATCCTGAGAGGTTGCAGTCACTCACACCACCACCCTCCAGAATCCCAGGCTGACGCAGGGCCTCACATCCCCCCAACCAGGCCTGAGGTGGAGCTGAGAGCCCAGTAGGCCAGTGAGGCTTGCTGCCCCTGGCTGAGGGGGTGGGAGGAGGTAGGGAGGCTACAGGTCCCCATCTCCAATCCCCATACCCCTCTGTGCCAGAGCCCAGGGTCACCTCTGTGCCAAAGAGCTCCCTGTTCTGTGATGGGTCAATGACTCAGCTCTGCCTTGGCGACACGGCCTTGCAGTCCCAGGGAAGGAAGACAGGTAGGGTGAACAGGGCGTACTAGGCTCCCAACAGGTCTCATGGTTTCAGCCCTTCAAGGCCCAACTGAACCCAGTCAGTGCTCAGGAGCCCAGGAACAGCCCACCTAACCAATCAGCCTGAACCCATACTGGCCACTGGCTGGCCTAGCTCCCTGTGTGGCCTTGCTCCAACCCTGGAACCGGGGAGTCAACATGCCTACGCCCGTGATACAGGGGCTGTAGACTCCTGCAGGACAGACACTGTTGTGATGATGGGGAATCCACAGACCAGTGGAGAAGGGTTCCCGGTTGGAATTCCAGGCCTGAGGACCCCAGAGCACAGGCAGTGTCCTTCTCCATCTCCCTGCCCCCAGGCCCCAGGCCCTGACCCTTCTGGCCCAAACCTTGGCCCAAACCAAGGGCCACCTGTCTATATAGAACCAAATTAACCAGAGATATGCTGTCCTCTCCAACCCCTGGAACAGAGGGTGAGTCTGAGGGGGCTCTGCATGCCCACCACCCCACCATGGGACCCAGCCATCCCCCAGGCATCAGTATCAATGCACGTGCACCCAGCCCTGCCCCACAGTGCCGGAGGCCCCTGGGAGACAGTGCCGATGGAAGTGCCCATTGACCCACAGACCACAGGGCCACAGGAAGGGGACTTGAGGTGGGGATGGACACAGGGGGATAGGCTTTACTGCCCAGGCCTCAGAGGAGTGACAGTCCAGATGGTCAGCACAGGGTGGGGCAGAGAGGGGTTGGCAAGGGCAGGCAGAGCCTCACCGGGGGCTTTCCCAGGCTGGAGCAAGGTCACATGCACATGACACAGACATGGCCTTCTCTGAGGACCAGAACTTGCCTGGGGGACAATTAAGAGTGAAGCTGAGGGGAGTCTGAGGGGTCATCCAACCAAACCTCAAAACCCCCTCCTCCCTGAATTTGGACTGTTATCACAGACAAGTTCCTGAGATCCAACTGATTTCCACCATTCCTGAGCTAAGAGGGCCTGTGACCTTGATGGAGGCCACTGTGCCTAGTTGCTTCCTCACTACATCCCTCCTAGGGATCCTGGGACCCTCATCACTGAGGTGCTGCTGGTGGGAGATGGGGGAGGCAGGGGTCTCTGCCTGGGGCTAAGGACCTTGCTCCTTGGGTCCAGAGACACCCTGGGGACCCTGAAGATCAGACCTTGTCCAGCCCCTCACTGATCTAGGAAGTCACTCAGGGTCATAGCATGACCCCTCCTGTGAACTCCTGCCTCACCAAGCCCCCAGTGATATGTGTCTCACACCTGTATGACCCCCCATGGACATCCACATGCATGCTAGAGTCTGAGCTCACATGTGTGTGTGCTCATACCCAGAGAGCAGGGATCCAGCAGAAAGGGCAGGAAGGGCCCAGTTCCTGTCACACTTCCCATTTTCCCTCCCCATGGAGGCAGGAAGCTGGTTTGACCTGCAGCTGCCTAGGCTCTCACGTCCCTACCAGGGAGCTTGTCCCCTAAACCTGGCCCTTAAGAGGGTCTGGAGGAAAGATGAGCCCATCTAGAGAGGGCTGGTCCTTGTAGTTAGCGTCAAGGGACCAAGACTAGAGCAGAGGAGACTAGACCCTGCCCTGAGGGGTCCTAGGGAAGCAAGAGTTACCCCGCACCTGGCAGAACACAAATCCAGTGGCCAGAAGGGAGCCTGGAGCAGGGCAAGGCGTCCAGGGGAGGGAGAGTGGGAGGGTCTGGCTTTGTCCTGACACCTGCTGCCCATTCTAGGCTCCAACCACTGCCACCCACCACCTGCAGGGCATATTCTGTTCCTTACGGTTAGGGTACCTCTGACCTCCACCATGGCACCTCCCACCCCCATTAGAAAGATTCAACCGCCTGGGTGAGGCCCGGCCTCGTGGGCCTGGGACCCCGGGCATCAAGCCCTGGCTGTGGAGAGAGGTCTGTGCCAGGAGGTGAGGCCTGGGGGCATGTCTCGGCGCTACCCGTCGGTGCCCATCGGGCCCGAAGCACATCTCCAGGGGTCGCGGAGTCCAGCCACCTAAAGGCCCTGGCTCACCTGCGCGAGGTCATGTCTGCTCCGCGCTGGGCGCTTGGCGGGTCCAGGCGGCCGCGCCCTCGGGCCACTTCGAGAAGGCCCCGCCCCCTAGGGCCCCGCCCACTCAGGGCCCCGCCCACCCAGAGCCTTGTCCGGGAGCTTCCTTAAAGGAGCCGTGTCCACACGTCTCACCACCGCGTAGGAGAAGTTGCGATAAAAACAACAGTTTTCGAGGGCGCCAAACTTCAGAACCAAGAGATTCGCGCGGGCGTCCCGGGCTCGGAGGGCGAGGGCGCGGGGCAGCCGGGACCGAGCGGCCCCCAGCCTGGCCGGCCGCCTCCGCACAGCGGCGCCTAAATGTGATAAACGGCACATCAGTCCCACCGCGCGCTGTCCCAGAGCCCGCAGGCCTTTCCGCATTGCCTCCTTAATGGGAGGAGGGCGGTGAGGGGCTGCGCTCTCTTCACGGGGAGGTGGGGGAATTCGGAGCTAGAGGAGGAGACCCCTGGGGGACGGAGGTGGGAGGACGTGCTGCCGTCGCAATGCGATGACCAGGTAACCACCTCTTACTTTTCTACCTTGGGGGCTTCCCTCTTTTCCTCCCCACCTCGGCCACCCACACTAGACAGTGCCCTCCCTTCCTAAGTGATGCTGACCCCTCTTCACCTTTGCTCCTGCTACAGCTGCCCCCCATCTGCTTGTTTCCTGTCCTTCACTGGCCAAACCACCTTTCATAAGCCAGTTTCTGGGGAGCAGCACCCTAATTCATCTGGGTCTCAACCTTGAGATCCCTGGTTAGGAACTTCAGGGCCCTCTCCCGTCCAACTCCTCTCTACCTTTCCAGGAGTGGTACACCAAGGCATGGAAACTTCTCCTGAAGTTCCAACCCTGGAGCCCAGATCCCCACCCACCGCTGTGGAGAGCGGGTCAGTGCTGACTGACTGCCCTGCTTCCTTCCTCTCCCACTCACCTGGGTCACCTCACTAGCCACCTGCCGGTCCTGAGCCTCAGCGGCAATTGCCCTGAGAGCCCCCTCCTTCTGGAACCATCAACTCCCAGACACTCCTGGCCCCACTGGCTCACCTTCTCCATGACCTCCCAGTGTGAGAGCCTCGTCTCCCCTCACTTGACTCCCAGAGCAGCCCACTTGCTGGCTCCCTTATGTTCAGCGTCCCCTCCGCTTGGTACTACATGGCTTCCTGGTCTCTGGTGAGTTGGCTCTCAGCTCCTCAAGCCCAGCCCCTCCAGATGCATTAGGGTGGTACACCCAGGTGCTCCAGTGCCTTCATCAGGACCCCACCGCCCAGCCCCGCAGAGGCCTATCCACTCTGCTCCAAAATCCTCTCTTGTCTTTATTAGTACTTGGGCCCCAGCACTCTGTCCTACACAGCAGGACATCTCATGAAGTCTGACCGACTCTGGCTCAAACCCCTCCAGGAGCTCCCTGCAGCTCTTCAGACAGATCCCCAGCCTAGCTGGGTCCCACAGGATCCGTCCTGCCCACCTTTGCCTGCTCCTACCAGGCCTCCAGCTGTTTGGGCTGGGCCTGCACTTCCTCTTTCTACTCAGAGCACCTCCCAGCCGCAGGGCACTTGCTCGGATGTAGATACCTCCTGCCCCACCGCAGGTCTTCACACCCTTGCTCCAGCAACTTGCTTACCCTCAGGTCTCGGTCGAGTACCAGGTATTCCTGGAGCCTCAGGCTAGTCCTGCCGCTTGTACCCTGCATCATCACCTGTTTATCTCTCCTTAGCACCTTGGCGTTTAGGGCCACGCTCCTCCCCCATCCACAGCACCTGACAGCTGACAGCATCCATTCCACACACATCGCCTGAACAAACAAGTTAAAGAATAATGGATGAAAATGTGAATGCCCATGGGCTAACAGGTCACCCGGGTGCTGAGTGTATGGGTATTTTTGTTTTCTTATATTCATTTTCTGCTTTTTTTCTATTAACAAAAGAAACCAAAAAAAGAACAGTTATCCTTTATAAAAGTCAGGAGTTCCAGGGAGGAGGCCACCCACTCTCCCTTCTTCCCCTGTTCCTTGTTAGAGGCTCACAGCTGCTGTGGGGCTGGTCGGTCACAGCTCCTCGGGGCCAGCCCGTCTCAGGGCTTCCTGCTGCTGGTCTCCCAGCAGAGCCAAAAGTCGCCCTCCTACCTGGGCCAATGAAAAAGGCTGCCCGCCCCACTCACCCTGGCTGCACCCCCAGGCCCTCCTACCCCCACCTACCCTGCCCCCAAACCCCCTGCCCTTACTACAATCTTCCCACTCTCCTCACAGCCCCCTTTCCCATCCTGTGCTCACGTACTGATGTAGAAGACACGTGTGCAAACACACACATGCACATGCACTCATGGGAGTTGCTGCCGGCAAGACCAGTCACCTGCAAGGCCACCTGGTGTGCCGCCTCCACGGGCCCTCCCCCAGTGCATAACAGTGTGCACTCTGCAAAAAAGCAGCCCTACCCCCCAGTGCAAGGCCCTTTTCTCCATCCAGAGCTTCCTAAGGGAGCTTAAAGCCTCTGCTGTATCACAAACTTGAGCAAGAAGCCACAGGAGAGGAGCCAGCAAGGTGGGTGGTCCCTGGGCCAGGCAGGGCTCGGGGATGGTGTCTGGTGTAGACGGATGCCAGCACCTCTTTTAAAGTGTTCAGACTTTATTTCACGGTGATTGACACAGACACAGACACAGACTGGAGTTAGTAACATGACATACGGGGTTCCCTCCAGCCTTTGGGCTCAATGGCCCATTCCCAGCTGTGGGAGGGTTAGGGCTGCCATCCCCACAGGAGGGCAGGGTGTGTGGGGGGGGCAGGTGGGATGGGGTGTAATATTGCAGTTTTCTCTGCTGCCTCTACACCCACCCCTTGGCCTTGGTCTTGGACAATGACACCCCTCACACCAGAACCAGAGAGAGAGTTTGCTGTATGGTGTGCTCAGCTGCCCTTGGGCCAGGACAGGAGGGATGATGGCCCTGTCACCCCAGGTATCAACTAAAATCAATGCAGAAAGGTTGGTGGTCAGACATCCATCCTTGAGAGGGGGTGCCAGCTACCCAAGCAAGGAGGCAGTGGGCATCCACCGCATCCCACAGCAGCCCTGCTCCCTCTTAGGACTGCTAATGAGAGCTGGAGTATCAAGGGGGGGCACAGCTATGTCCAGGGTGGCTGGGTAGACAGGCAGGGCTAGCGAAGGGCCAAGGTGCCCTGACCGGGCCTGGGCCTGGCCTCTGTTCTCCAGCGCTCTGGGACTGGTGGACACGGTTGAAGGGAGGGGTACAGTAGAGCCCCGACAGTAACGTTGCTGTGAAGTCACCACATTGGCACAGGAGGCCTGGGAGGGGCCAGTCTGGGCTCGAGGCTAGCCCTGGCCTACAGCACACCCAGGGAGGAGGAGCAGCTCAAGTGGGAACCCAGAAAGGCCCCTGAGGGCTTGCATGGAGGAAGGGCCCCCTCAAGCCCCAGCAGTGCCTTCCTGCTCTGGGGACACAGGCCCAGCACGGGTGGACACACGGGGGAGGCACAGCACGAGGGGCCGAGACACAGTGGCCCAAGGCATAGGGACACATCCTGAGGCTGCCGCTGGAGTCAAGCCCTCCATGCTGCCCGCGTCATCTCCCCCTGCAAGTCCCGTGACACAGAGTTTGTCTCTGTAGCTTGTCTGCTTGGACGGTAGGGAGGCTGGTCCAGCAGTCCCTCTGGCCAACACACAGGCAAGAAAACCATATCAAAAAAGCCATGAGTTTACGAAAATAGAAAATAATGACAACAGGGTGGGTGGTGGGCTGTGGTGTGTCTCATGGGGTGGCGCAGGGCCGAAGCTCCGGCTTGGTGACAGCGTCCTCCAGCAGGTGCAGCGGGCGCTGACCCACCACCACGTCCCGCAGGCAGCCCACAAAGCCTGTGCTGTAGGCCTTGGGCAGGGCCTGGCCCGTGGGCAGCTTCTCCAGGCCACCTGCAGGAAGACAGAAGGAAGGCCACCGGCTGTGACTCAGGGATGGGCAATCTGGGGCACTAGCCAGCAGAGAGACCCACAGGTACTTGAGAGACCAAGTGAGTTACCTGAAGCCTGTCAGTGCCCTGGGGGGAGGGGGAGACCACGTGACCAGGAGACATGCTCCGGCCCCCTGGCCCCACAGTCGCCCAGGGAAGAGCGGGGCCTAAGACAGGAGGGGACAGGGCCCTACCCTGGCCAGCTGGGCTGCTGTCCTGGACGGGGTGACTCAGGTGGCACTCCCAGTTTGCAGCCCCAGGGGACAGGGTCTGTCCCCCAGAGATTCTGAGACCCTTGGGTACCCCTCCCCTGGCCTTCCCCCAAACACTCACCCAGCCATAGGGCTCCGTCTGTGTCTAGCTGTGTGGCACCCAGTGGGGAAGAGCCAGTCACAGGGGCCTCGTTGCCCACCTGAAGGGAACCTTCCCTCTGTTCCCTGGGGGTGGGGTGGGATGAGGCCATCATCAGGTGGTTCCAGAGGCACCGCTGCCACCCCCAGATCCTGAGCCCCACATCCCTCCCAGAAGTCCCACCCTGGGGCCCACCACCATCACGCCTGGGGGCCAGAATGAGGTGGCACTGATGCCCAGGAGAGCACCCGGTGGCTAGGGCAGGGGGAACTCACGTGGGTTAAACTTTGCTGTAGGGGGTGACCAGGCTCAGACGCCATGGACAGGTCTCCAAACAGCGTGCAGGCAGAGCAAGGACTCCCTTTTCAGATCAGGAAGGCCCTGGCCATAACTGCTTCTCCTTTGTCCTCTTGTCCCTCCCCCATCACTGGCAGTGGCCTCGAGTCGGGCACTTCGCCCTGCCCCCACCTCAAACCTGGGCCCTAGCTACAAGTGACCGGGCACGCCCTGGCTGGGCAAGTCCAGGCACCACCCGCCGCTATTCTTGGTGTGCCCTGGGCTCCCCACTGACCTATGTGCCCTGACCCGCAACCAGCGGTTGGTGTTGACCGGCACGGTGGAGTGTAGCACCACGGGCTGGGAGCCCAAGTCGTAGGTCAGCTGCAGGCGCCCATCCACGATGGCCAGCGCGAGGTAGTCCGCCCGCTCCGTGGCCTTGCCACTCCACAGCACCAGCCC